AAGTTTGGTGACCACGACAGCTTTGTGAGCCGTGGCCATACTTCAGGCATTTGAAACAACGACGTGGGTTAGGTATGTATGGTCTGATCGACGTCTTAGTGTACCCTGTTTGAATACTTTCTGGCAGATTACTGGAAGCGAACGTGAGTATTAGGTGTTTTGTTGGTGTTACCTTGTTGTCTCTTCTAATGGTGATCCTTTGTACATTGGTCACATTCTGACTCTTCCACCCCTCCAGAAGTTCGTCTTCAGTCAAGCCCAGCAAATCAGCATCAGATACTACTCCACGGGTTGTGTTCATGGATCTGTGTGGCGTTACAGTGATGGGAGTGTCACCAAAAGTTGAAAGATTCTGTAGCTTTTCAAACTGTTCTTTTTCTCGAACTTCAAGGAGGAGGTCTCCGCTGGCCATTTTGGTAACTTTGTACCCGGCTCCTAGAGTTTCTGTGAGACATCTGGCTACTACAAATGGGGATACAGTTCTGGCTTGCTTGCTGCTTATCTCACTATGTATAACATGAAAATGGGGGAAGTTCTCAGTTGATCGGTTGAAAAATCCTAAGTCTTCGGTGCGTACGCGCTTTAAGGCGGTACGATCACTTAATAATGGAAATGCTCTATGCATGCCAGTTTATTTTCTTCAGAAGCGTTGGCGGCCACCCACCACGGAGCCCAACGAGGAGACGCTACAAGTTTGCGGGTGCTAAAACCTGCAGACGCCAGCCGTACAACGCTACTATAACCCAATGCGCCTAGACCAAGGTAGGCTATTTGCACAGGGTTAACCCTAGCCGCCAGGAAGTTTGGAAGTAAACAGAAGAGAGGAGAAGACAGGACAGATAAAAAGTGAGAGATAAAGACGAAGATGTAGGGAGAGAGAGATAGGAAAAGGCGACTGCTGATTTCCCCTGGGTGGGTCAGCCCAGGGGTGCCGTCTACGTGAAGCCGGGGCCAAAGGGGTGTGTTGCCTCTGCCGGGGGGCCTTAAAGGTCCAATCACCCAGCGTTGGCTCAACCCCCAGGATCCCCTTTTCCCCGGACACAGCAAAGCCACGCACGGCTAGGCGTGGGAGGGAGTAGAAACTCCCCCGTTAGCTCGGGTCCGTGGTGTCGCTAAACACCAAACGCCTACTTGCGCAGGTGCCCCTGCGGGGTGTCGCAGGTGAGTCAAGAGAACAGCTGATGTTAGCAGGCCAATGAAACACTACTTAAAAAGCATTACGGCCCTTCCTGTCATGACTGTCGGGATGAAACATCTATGCCAGCTACTGTCACTGGTATAGCATAATGTGATCAGCCAGAAGGTCACAGTCAGACTACCAAGAGAATGTCAAAAGATGCCAAGCTTTCAAATATAAGATATTATCCACATAACCTTTATCACCCTATTTTATATCCCCTGCAGAACGAAGGGCTCTCCCAATGATCTTCAGCTCACCCCATCCTATGTGAGCTGTTTTCATTTGATACCTAAAAAATTGCTTAATTTCATCCTCCCACTTGGCCCCCTGCCAGTGCCAGATATACTGATATATCTCTTTGTATTCATTCCAGTGCTTTAACTGGCCAACAGTTATCTACCCTACACATCAAGTGACCTCCTAGGTCCACTTTCTCTCCTCTTAATGTCAACTAAAATATTGCGCACTCCTGATCCGCTACCCCGTTTTCTTATCTCTTAGTGCCACACTTACTGTTTGCTTTTCTATCGCACGCTGCATGGAGCCTAACTTCTTCTCAAGTTCCTTTTGTTATCTTTGAGGCTTCAGCTACATATATGTTGGCGTATTACTGTAGTCTTACTACAAAGAACTGCAACACTGTTAATTTCCAAACACTACATTTCCTTCCCAGCGCAACATCTAGAAAAAAAAGAAACTAAACAATGAGCACTGACACAAAAATTTTGCATCTGTTGCTATAAGTAGCTAATGGCCCACTTATCATGGCTGGAAAGATCGTTTGCTAGAGTGCAAGATAGTTAACTTATTTGGAGACTGTCTGATAGTGCCCAGTCGCGGCTTTGGTTTCAAGGAGCACAGAGTGAACCATGACCCAGAGCGGTTTTCATGTAACATAGCTGGTTACATTAGTGCAAAATGCCGCTTGCACACGAGCGCTACTTTGACAACTCTTTTCAGTGATGGCTTCCAGCGTGCTGCTATAACACCCTCTGAGACATACATACGCGCGTCACCTCGAAAATGCCCTACCCAAGCAAAGACTTTTGGAGCCTTTGTACTCCTGTGCAAGTCTGACTCCTCTTTCCATCGAAAAGGTGTGTTAGAAGAGAGTGCGAGGATCATGGCAGCAAACACAAACTCGTGACGCAAGTGGTGGTTGGTTGTTTACACGAAAACCAAAGGCACGTTCCACGTACGTGCAATCGTACGTCACACACTTTAAAATTGATTTTAAATGTGTTTTAGGCTAAATTGTGCATTGATATCAGTATTTCGTAGATGATGCCTGTGCATCCTCAAAAATCTGTCCCACGAGTTATTTCGCTTTCAAATTTTGTGACAGCGCTCCTTTCAGCTTTACTCATTCCATAGTGTCTTGTCTATCACAAGGCCTATTTCTTGACAATGAACTAGAGCTCAATAATGTGCAATGCTTGTCTTTATTCGGCACTGTAGTTGCTGGAAACTGCGGGAGGGGAACAGGAACTTAGGAACTGCTGCGACATTTGCAGCTCACCTTTGACCTTTGCTTAATCGTAACCTTCACAATGTGCACAGCATGGCTAATTTCGTATTTGGTTTCAGGGTTGCCAAAAGGTTAATGTAGTTTCATCAAGGTCATCTAGCCCCCAGGAAAACCACTCTTGCGTGTGCAAACTGGGAGGGCTATTTTGCACGATGCAACTGGTGCACAGATACCAATCTTCACATTCAGTTCGATCAGCACACGCTAACCCCTTCCCCCACTTTTTTTTATATACAAAAGACAGCTTCCTGAAACAACCTCCGATGATGAAATTGTCATGACTTGGAAATGTTATTACTTTAGTTTTTAATCCTATTCATCAACAATTGCATAAGACACCTGGGTCAATCTATTGAAACATTTTGACTACATGTACCTGTTTCATCATTTATGCATATTGCTGCTATTATGTAGTTGGGATGGGAGTCTATCAATTGATTAAAGTTCATATGGGATGCTTCATTTGCTTAGCTTTATTTTTATTTATATATCTACATTTCCTTGCTTGTTTATGGCATGCATACACGTCATACGATAGCCTCAAACCAATAACTGTCTCTTCGTATAGCTAGCGTTCATGTAGCCTGTCCCCCCATTAACCTAAGGTTATTATAGTGTTAAGACTGTAGCTAATGTGGCTCAAGTATATATTACGTGGTTCCAGCAAATAAATCTTGTTGTAAGTCAGTGCCGCTGTCTGTCTCCTTCTTTTCTTGTCCCTCGTTATTGGCGCTGTTTTTTATGTGAGTTAAGACAGTATTACATAAGAGCAGCAATGACAACAACAATACAAATCCTATTTTGTAAATGTGGCTACATGTACTTGTTGGCTGTGGTAGTCTTGTCTCCTCATGGCACTGCTTCAAGTCCTACTACGTGCAGCTGTGAGGTGATACTAACTAGTCACGTTCAATACTCAATAGAGTGTTACAACACTAAAGTTTTTAGGTGCAATCGCAACCTCCTACACTAAGAGAAACCAGCCACATCTTTCAACACACATTACCTTGCAAAAAAATCCGGGACATCGTTCAATGCCAAGCACAACACCGTTTTCGCATCACAAACGTTTGCAATGTGAAATGATGTAAACGTGTGTTACAATAGCTTTAACCTCTGCTCAACAAGCATGGAAAGACGAATGTTTGTCTACACATAGAAAAATCACTTGATTGATTTGCAAGTAAACAAAGCTTCCTTCTTTAAAAGCCTTCAAACAAACGACATCAGCCTATAGACAAGTCAACTGTACTTTTGTTCGTGGACTGTAATACGGTGATTTGTGTAGGAAATTGTGTCCCTATCCTTGAGCACTGGTATGCACAATTATTAGCAAGCATGTAGACTGTTTACAACACTGACAAGAGCACACAAATGTAAAGTTATGAGTTGCATCAAAATTACAGCCAAATTACGTGCCCACCCTTCACGAGAATCGCCGTCCCAATTTTTCGACTGCCACTACCTGGACGTTAAAAGTGAAACGAAATCGAGAGCGTCGAGAGAAATTTCGTCATCAGGCTAATAAAAAAAAAACGGCACCAGCGTTTTTGTTTACCCTACGGGGTGCGAACCTCAAAACAGCGATGCACTCTAAATGACCTGCGCAGGCATACAAGCGGAGTTCTCCGTGGGTTTCATGCGCCGCTCATGGTTTGCGCATCGCCAAAGTAAAAGAACGCGCACCGATCGAGGCACTTGATCGTGACACGACGCCGTTCTATATCCGCGTGGCGACAGACTCGTTGTCGACACTCAACTCCTTACAAGTGCAACGAGTGAGGAACGTCTTCGAACACAAAGTAAAACAACAAACGCAAAAGTAAAGGTTCCAGGCAGGCGAATGTACCGCAGCGCGGGCCTCGCATTGCTGAAGACGGGGTTTCGTTCGGCATACGGCGAATCGGGGTTCTTAGTATGCAGAGGCCGTTCCTACACGTTGGTGGACGGTGTTCGCACGCTCGCACCGGCTGCTTTCGACGGCACCGCGCCCAGCTGCTCGCAGCCAGGAGTCGGGGTGCTTCGAAAAACGGGAGCACGCCACCGCCCAAGGCCAACGCGGCGTCTTGTTTAGCGGCGTGTCAAGTTTCGCTTCGTCTTATCGTGCCCGCCAATTTTTCTCACTCCTTTCCTCTTTCGATCGAGATCGAAAGGGTGATCGGGGATCTGCATCTTTTTTTCCGCTCTCCTCCGCAACCGATGAAGCGTACGCGACCGAATCGCCGCGGAAAACCCACAGAAGCGAAGCGCGATCTGGTACTAGGCAAATGGAAAGCGAAAGCACAGGCTTACTTTTCGTTGGCCATGGTCGAACCAGGACCAAAGGTAGCGAGACGAGCATTAAACTTTGGCAAAATCGTCTCCAAGCACGTCGAAGCGCCGCACCGAACCCGCCATCTTGCACTCGCTACAGGAGCGCGGAATCATGGGACAAGCTGCGCTTGTGTGTGTTTGCATTTGTGTTTGCTTTCCGAGCTTTGCTTGTGCTTGTACGTAGTGGGCCAGGCTCTGTGCTGCTGATCGTCGCACGGAATCACCCTGTGCGCTCCACTTCTAGCTTGTGTGACACTTCGACGCCTTCTAAGCAAATTATGATTCTTGTGCGTGTGGTTAGAGTTGTGCGAGTTCCCGATATCGTGGCGACTGAGCGTTCCCGACGCTCACAACTTGCTCGTAGTGTCCGAGAGCGCTTGCTCGAGTATTGCGTGGTTTGACAACGCAGCTGGGTCAGCTGAGCTGCAGCCATGAGCCAAAGCTCGGCATCTCTGAGCAAATCGAGTGAGTAAAATGCCCGAGAATTGGAGAAGGAAAACAAAAAAAAGCATGTTGGTCGCATTTCACTACCACGACATCTCAAGTCGTGCGATGAGCAAGCACAGTCCTAAGTGTAGCGGTGCTAACTTGTGCTTGAAAAAAAAAAAAAAAAGCTCGCTGGTTTTGTAAGGCGTGGCGTCTTAATTGCATTCTGGAGCATTGGTGTGGGGCTGGGTTCCCTAATCTAAGAGCATATTTATTCTTCACTCGCACGCTTAGCCGCCCGAGTGTCGATCTCTTGTGTGTGGCCATGATCTATGAGCTTCGGTAACCTGAGCTGTGGCGAAAAGTAAAACACCTGTGCGTACGACTTAATTGTTACGAATAGTCCAGCTTCCTATACGATACGTAGACGGTAGTGCGGCTGCCTTTGATAGTTCTACCCGCTAAATAGTAGGCACACTTTGGTTTTGCTTTTTACGCCCGGAAACGTAGCGCATTGTGTTCGGACACATCGCAAAATCGAGCAGGATGTTATGGAATGCAAAAAAAAAAAAAAGAACGTACTTTGAAACGCCGTGCGCCGTTTCGTGCATTCTTAATCTCTCAAGTGGGCTTAATTGCTGTTTCAAGATGTTTGTACATTCTTGAAATTTGTTGCTGGTCGCTGGTACCACGTACTGCTCTTAAAAAGCAGCTTTTGGTCAAAACATACGTCGAACTGCGAAAAGCTTCAACTAAATTTAGGTAGTGCTTATTAAGTGAGTACTTGAAAGCTGATAGAACCAGGGAACTGATTTTGTAGTGAAAACCTTTAAGTACACTTTCTCTGTGTTGTCAATGTTAAATAATAAACAACTTTCACTTGAATTTATAGAGTGCACCTTTCTAACCCACTGTAAGAGGGTAAATTACGGCAAAGAGGGCTAATTAAGAGGGCTAATTACGGTAAAGTGGCAGTTTCATTGATTGCCACGAATCCATTAAATATTCTGTCATGTTCACTCAAAATTAATTTGTTGAACTTAACTACGGCTCAACAGATTAGCTGGTTCATTTTTTTCAGTGTGTATGCACTGCTCTATGTAGCTTGATTTATACATTATAAATGGGATTTGTAACCTGTTTTTACTATTTGTGCATGTTTTCTCACTTCTAATTATACTGAATTGAAACTGAAATTATAGTAAAAAAAGATCCACGCATCTCCACGATGTGAATCATGACGAGTGGGCGAAGCTCTGGTTATGGTACCGGTGAGAAGCTGTACATTACCCGAGCATCGCCCCGTATAATCTGAATTAAGCAACATAAAGTGCATGCGAAAATGTAAATGTACTTCACCTTCCAGTCGTTTTAGTCAGTTCAAAAAGACGTAGAAAATTGCTGGACTGGAGGATAAGCCTCGAAAGTGAATCCAAGAACCTGCCATCTTACCAGTGGCAAGAATACCATTTTAATATGGGTAACTTGTTTAGAACACGTAGTGCTTGACGCGTGCCTTTGTGTTGCAGGTTTCCTTGAGAAACCTCAACATGATAGGCACTTAGAAGTGTGGCAGCTTGGGCTAGTTGGTATGGCATGACGATAGTTATAGCGCGAGAACAAAACGACGACACAGAGACTTTCGTGTCCTTCTTGTCTCTGTGTCGTCGTTTTGTTCTCGCGCTAGAACTATCGTCATGCTAGGCACATTTTAGTAGAGATCAACTCATCAGTACTTTTCTCGATTGGTTATTTTTACTGGGAACAACGATCTCTTACCTTACAGTTAGCCTATGTTTATGTTGATGTCTATTATAAAACATTCTTTTTGTGTCTCACATACGTTTTGACCATAGCATTGATTCTATACTGTAGTCACAACGGGGGAGAAGGCTAAGTCTTAAGAAGCTTCGTCCCTAAAAGAACGCTGGTAGACAAATCTACCAGTGTACCAGACGAACTGGTAGACAGACAAGTCACATATCCGAGGGTTGTGATGTGATCACGATGCAGGATCCAGTGACAAGGCAACAGCAAGCGTGGAAGAGCCTAATCGCGTGGAGTGGCTGGAGAGGCTGGACCGTGTTCACCTTCACCGCACCGACTTAAACCGGCTTGTCATGGATTATCTGGTCACCGAGGGCTTCAAGGAGGCTGCTGACAAGTTCAGGCTCGAAGCTGGTGTTGTACCGCCCGTGCCACTCGACACATTGGACGAACGCATCCGGATACGCGATTGTCTCCAAGAGGCAAGTCTCTCACTTTTACCTTATGGTGTGTGTCGTACTGCTGTGGTTGTGAGTTCATTTATTGCATCTATATTTCTTTGTATTGCCATTCATGAATTCTGTTTTATTTTTTTTGTACCCTTTCGTTAAACACTAGGTTTATGAAAATTGGGTACTTTGGGCCCTATAGTCGGATACAGCTTAAGAAGTCGTCTGCACTGGTGTAGTGGTTATGGTGCTCGGCTGCTCACCAAAAGGTCGTGGGTTCAATCCCAGTTCTGGCACTTGCATTTCATTGGAGGGGAAATGCTGGAGGCCCGTGTGCTGTGAAATATCAGTGCACGCTAAAAGGTCCGTTCAATTCACATGCACCAATTGGAACCGGTTCACGGCTGTGCACGCAAACTTCAGATTGTGCAGTGTGAGTTCAGCGGTGCAGGCACAACACGACACCCGAAATCAATGACGATGTGCCGACAAGGTGCAGGCCTTATTTCTGCTCGCTTAATTTACACCGTTCAGTGTTATGGCAAACCGCACATGCGAACTGTTTGAGGCGCAAACATCTTGGCAAAATACACCGCGTCAGTGGAGGCAGGTACGAGGCTCTACGCCTAAGTGCCTGCGTCGTCTGCTCAGCTGCACGCGTGGCTGCACCAATCCGGCACCATCAGCATTGGAGGTGCAGGAACACCGTGAACCAGTGCTGCACCTTTTGAAAGGAATAGCAGGGTTCAGAGGTCGTCAATGCTGCACCACTGAAACGAATGGCAAAGTGCAGCACCTCGTGAACTGGTTCACGTGGTGCAGGCGAATCGAATGGACCTAAAGAATACCTGATGGTCCAAGTTTCCTAGCCCTCCACTGCTGCATCTCTCATAATCATATGGTTTTGGGAGGGCTAAACCCCATATAATATTAATGTTAACTCAAATTCAGAGCAGGCCACGTCCAAGTGACTCAAGCGCAACAGTTGATCGCCTCCGTGACTTAAAAAATGGTCTCGCTCATTCACCCGGAAATGCTCTCCGAAGGCGGGCCCTCTGGCTATCGGTATCATGACGTCAGTTAGGATTGCGCGCCCATTGGTGCAGGTGCTCTTGTCTTTAAAGTAGTACTGAGACGAATTTAAAATATCTTCAGATTGTTGCTCCTAATAAAGGCATTCGAGTTGAGTACCCTAAAAAGAGTGTTTTAGTGCCTGGGAATGCATCGAATATATATTTAATACTGTTTCCTGAGAAAGAGCTCTTTGTTTTGATATCGAGGAAGCGGCTTCTCAGGGATACGTTATCGCTAGTGTGACATCATGGGGAGACAACTTGTGACATACTATGCAGCGATAGCTTATTTCAACATTGGAGCAAAAGCTACGAAGGCGGGGCTTCCGCGTATTCGTGTTGCTCCGCAAGTCTACGGCAGTTTACTGCTGTTTTTGGTTTTGCTTGCTCACATCGTTAGCACGTTTAGAAGTACATACAGTACAAAAAAAAAAACTATGAGCGCGAAAAACATTTCAATTATTGAGTATCTTATATTTGTGTCCTATTATGAGTAAATGTTTCATGGAGAACTAAACAGCGTGTTTACCGCTGTGCACTGTCATGAATGCCATATTTCCTTGGAAAATGGGTGGGCTGAAAGGGTGGCGCTGTAGAAGAAATGAAAAAAAAAAAAAAGGAATACACTGTTGCCAGGTGAACAATAACTGTATTTTGCCAACAATTTCACGCGACTGCTTCAGCCTGATAATAAATAAAGAAGTACTTATTGCAGCAAGAAAAAGGAGAGAATTATGTGCACACTTAAGCACTATTTTTTCGACGCAGCAGCAGACAAGTGCCTTGGTTCTATAGCATCCACAGTGCTGCCAAGAAAAGTTGTCGCGGAGTGTAGTAGCAGATATGACATCTACTCCTGACACACGTGAACAGCGATAAGTGAATTGTCGTCCAGCAACCTCGACAGTGATTTCTGCTATTTGGGCTGCACGCAGGACGCAAGATTTGCAGACTCGGTGAACTGTATCTCACTGAACGTTGTCTCCATTTGGTTGAATGTGTATGATGAACGTTACTTGACTCTCTTAACATATGTTTGTCTTCAACACTCAACGATAGTCATTGTCAAATACGCTATTAGTGCACGACTAACATCCTATTGGTTAACACGATGACCACCAAAACAACTGTATTTGTAGAAAAGATATAAATAAGACCCAGAAATTGTGATAAGTAACTGGAAAATGTTTCAAACAACTTGACAACAAAATAAGCCCAAATCTACGTAGTGTAAGCAGAACTGGCTTCTTGGATATAACCATGCCATCTGCTGATGCATTGACAAGTTTTAGTTAGTCATCAGTGTTTCTTTATCTGGATCGGCAGCATCGCCTTGAAAAAGCAGCCATTCGCATTTAGTGCCACATTCAGTAGGGCGGGCGAGACAGAGGAAATGATATGCTCATTAAGTTAATTGAGTCTATTAAAGAGGCCTACTGCAATTGAATTCAAGGACCTCTGCGTGACATTGAAAATTTTTTTATAGGGTGTTTCTGCTCAGAGCGTGAGCCAGGAATGCATTTGGAAGGCAAAGAGAAGAATGCCATATTTTTCTCTGTGTAACCAACCCCTGCATGTGATGAGTACCCCAAGTACAAACTGTGCAAAATTGCCAGGGGGGTGGGGTTGAGGGGAATCTGTATACTGTTGTGAAGTCAATTTGCGCTGTAATATTCACACACTATAACTTGCACCCTGACTTTATTTTCAGATCTGTATATTTTGCGTGGGTTATTTGGGAGAAAATAGAGCTACTCGTGGCCAATTCAAATGAAGATTGCGATTGCTGTGCATTGCTTATAATGCTGCACAAATTCAGGTGTGGTAGTGTCAAATCCGTTGGTTTCTGTAGATGTTTGCCGACAATCGTTGTACTAGCTAATTTATTTGGTTTACTAGAAGCGAACTCATTAAGGGTGTGTGTGTGGTATAGTCGTTTGGGTTCCAGTTCACGAACAGGTTCTCTTGTTCCCAGGGGGCCTTGCTATTGCATATACTGCAGCATTATTAATAACCTACAGCTTTTGGCCCTTCACTAAGCATGTGGTTGCGTCTTTTGTCTGCTTTGAGGCCACTATTCCGGCGCGCCCACATCAGTTATTGTAATAAACTGAAACCTCAATATAACAAACCCGGATATAACGAAATATTGGTTATAACGAAGTAAATGAAACATAGTCTTGCAGTGGATATAGTGCTAGGAATTAACATTTGTAACAAATTTTTAGATATAGCGAACTTGTTTACGTGTAAGATGCAACTTTGTTATAGTACTGCGATGCCAAGGTATGTAGTTTGAAAGATGAGTGCTGCTTTTGATAATTAGCATTATTTGCAAATTGCAACAGCAAAAGGAGCACGAGTGGCGCTGCTTCCACTTGCCAACTGAAGTGAGAAATGCACGAACCAAGGCCTCAGGTGTGGCGGCCTTTTCAGAACGCCATTAGGTGTGATGTCGGTGCCATCACCCAAGAATATCACTACTGCACCTTTTCACGGTTATCCTTCCGTGCGTTACATACGTTGTCCTTGATGTTCGGCTTTGGTGTGTCTAGAAGTTCGAGGCGCATAGGGAGCAAAAACATGGCATTAATACTGAGTGGAAAGGCTGGTGAGAAATGAGAAGTTTCGTAGTCTAGCAGACCAAAGTTTTGAGATTTTTCTAAACTCGTTGTAATACCTTAAAGGGTAAGGTAAGTGTTGCACTGCTTGCTAAGCTTAAGGATGCGGGTTTGACTCCTTGTCATGGTGGCCTCGGTTCGGCGGGGCTGAAATGCCAGAACATGCATGTGCTTATATTTGATTGCACAATAATGAACACCACAATGTCGTAATTAGCCAAAAGATCTACAGTGTGCCTCATAATTGTATTTTGGTTTTGTCTTGTAAAACGCCTTTATCATAATCTGCAAGTGCACTTCCCTGTGCTGCCCATTCGCCTGGCTAGTGGCGGCACCTGTCGTGCTTCAAGTGGAGACGAAGTCTTAGTTCTACATTCCAGGGCTGGTTTATTATGCGTGCTAATATCAACAGAGCTGAGCATCTATATATTTTGTGCCATGGTGCAAGCAAACTGCACATAAGCATGCTGTTTGCGGCAGTGATTAGCCACCAGTGGTTGGTCAAATTGCATTGCTGAAAAGCCAGGCTTACAATTGTGAAAGTGGTTGGTCACGCATTTTTGCAAAAGTTAAAAACAGAGGTGTTAATTAAGACATAACACGAGGGAAGGAACCCACAGGACGAGCGTGACTAGCAACTGAAAGTTTTATTGCCTCAAGGCGATGTAAAAGAACAAGGGGCAGGAAAACATGGCACATGAAACTTGAAGCTTTTCGTCACGATAAAATTGGCAGAAGCTGTTGATTGAGAAGGTCTATTATTATATTGCGAGATTTTCCTGGTAGCTTTTCACAAAGGTGTAACACAGTTCGTTTGCTTGCTGTCACAGGGTCGTGTGCTGGAAGCAGTGGCCCTTCTCAATGGTCTTCGTCCCGAGCTGCTGGACAATGACCAATGCCTGCTGTTCCACCTTCGACAGCAGCACTTGATTGAACTCATACGCGAAGGGCGCACAGAGGAGGCGCTCGCCTATGCCCAAGACCACCTCAGTGAGTGCGGAGAAGAGAATCCTCAGGTGGGTCATGAACGAGGTGCTGTGTAATTTGTAAGTGAATAACTTCAAGATTTACATGTCCTACAAACTAAACGAGTGTACAGCAATGTGACCTTCAAAGGTGTACCTTGTGGTGACTTCGTTACTCACCGTAACGCAAGGGCACCGCAGGGTTCAGGCTTAGCGAACCACAGGGTCACCGTCGCATGCTCACGTGTAGCGCACGGCTCCGCGCGCGCTCATTTAGCAAAGCATTTGGCGTGGCTTGGCAAGACAGTGTTCAATCTTAACAAAACACACAAACACTTTATGACCCTTGGCGGCACCCCAAACGCTGTACAACGTCCGGGGCGCAGGGAGCAAAGGCTTCAGCATGCTGACGTTCACCAAAAAGGAGAGACTGCAAGTACGACGCAGCTGACAGTGGCGAGCTTATACACCCTGGTCGGAAAAGATTTTTCGCCGCTATGCGGCGCACTCTCGCGATGGCCACTGAGCCTGGTCACGAGAGTTGGGTAAACCTTGTACACGTAGGCCACCGGCAAGTGTGGCTTGGCATAGTACGACTCTGTCAAGCACTAGACACCGTTGTTTGGCTTATCATATGAAACTGGAGCTAGCATAGAGGTAAACACGCTCGCCAAGGCAGGCTATAGTGCGACGATTCCCAAAGGGGACGCGGATGAAGAAAAACACGTGCTTACCGAGTGCCGCTCAAGGAAAGAGAGAGCCTTCTCGGTGCACACATGGCTCGGTCCCGCCAACTCTCGCAGGTGGCGTCGTAGAAAAAAAAATGGAGTGGCTACGTGGCGGAAATGCTCGCGAAATGCTCGTAGGCTTGCCGCAGATTCCCACATCCTCCTCTCATATACCTGTCTACAAAGGTAGCCGATCGTCGCCCATGCATGCAAAGACTTCATGCAATGGGCAGCAGCTAGCCTCAGCCTAGCCCTGCAACTGCTGCTAAAAAGTTAAAAAAAAAAAAACATTTGAAATATACAGTAGCTTCGTGGAAGGGGGTAACAAGTGTTCGTGATGCTCACGTTGGAGAGCATCCACGGTGGGAGGGGAAGCAACGTGTAAAGTTTTGGCTGGGTGAACAAGTGTATGCTGGAGTGCAAGGTGAGAGGACTGGTTGAGGCCCTCATGCGAGAAACGGGCTCACCTTGGGCTTGTTGCTGTCGGCAACAGGCCCACGAATCCGACGAACGCGGCCTCGGAGGTGGTTTGCATGGACCTCGCTGGGACCAGGTGGCCCTTCTGCTGGAATCGGGTTGCCATACCGAACTGGCCTGCGAGGCATCGTGGCCTTGGTGGAGGGTTGTGCACAGTGTCTGTGGCAGCTGGCCTCGTGCAGGAACCCTGATGGAAAGGGCGGCAGAGCTTCACAGGGACGGCAAGGAGTTGGGCACAGCCTTGCTGATGACAGCGAATCTCCGAATGCCTCCAAGACTTCTAAGGTGGTATAGGGGTTGATGATGTCCTAAGTTGTCGCCACCACGCACGTAGACACATGCACACATTCCTACGATGAACGGGCCTCTCCAAATCCGCCACGCGAAGGAAGGCGCACAGCGTCCTTCGTTCCTCTCTCCCATGCAAGAGCACCAAATCATGACCCCTTCCACCAGCGAGGAAAAAATGAAAACATGCGAAGAAAAAAAAACCTCAAGTCAACATGAACACTAAAAACAAATCAATAGAAACTGGGGGGGGGGGGGGGGTCGACTTTTTTTCAAGCACTGGCTGTAGAGAAGTTAGCTAACTGAGGCTACACAGTAAAACGAGGGCCTTTGGTTGTGGAAATAAGCCCGCCATCCGGTGCAAAATCACTAAGGTGACGGCTTCCTCGGATTATACCAATTCGTGTTTTGGATGCGGTTCGCCGTGCCGGATGTGCACTGTTGCTTGCACAAAGTGCCACTGGGCGCTGGCGCAGGCTCGTCAAAGCTCAACGCAAAGGCTTTCAAGTCTGTGGTGGGGGCACGGCTGAGCTTTCCGGAAATGGGATCTTTGGAAGTATTCGGGTGGAGTTCAAGCTTTCTCCACTCAATATGGACAAAGCCACTTAGGAGCGAGCGAAGCTGGGAACCCCTTGTTTGCGTTGCTAAGAACCGGATTCCTTCTTGCGGTGGAACTGGTCTCTATTAACTTGGTATATTTTTTCAACTTGATGGCAATGTCCAGAAAAAAAAGTAGGATGATAGTGACGGTGCTCAGGAGTGGTAAAGGTGTCCAGTTTCCAGAACAGCCTAGCAGAAACTGGTGCACAGGGTAGCTTATTGAGCTCACGCATTTGTTCTCGTTCGTTTCACCAGTGTGCGCCATTATACGTAACTTATCAGCACGGCAGTTGACGCTAGCGTGCTTAGCTTAAAGAAAAATGGGTGGCAATGCGTAGCTAAAGAAGTCACAGTTTCACTGCAAAAGCATAGCAAACAATGCAATCGCAACAAATTGTAATATTATACTAATTGAGGCTGGTAGCTAACTTTTTTGGATCCAATCTCACACAACTCTTCAAAGCTCGAGTGCAAGAGAATATGGCCACTCCAGGAAGAGTAACACTTTTTGTACAGTCTCTTCGCAATGACACTGCAGCATGTCAAAGTGTATACAAGCTGCCAACTTATGGCTGCTGAGCTAGCGTGCGTACTAGGCCCTCGCGACCGCAACTTTATTAGCAAAGTTCACAGTTTCTGCTCGAGCAACCCCCCCGAACCGTCGCTCTAGACGTTTAGTCCTCGTTAATGATGGGCAGGGTGTTTGCTCTCTGCTTGGACAGCAGGCCACCGAGCTCTGCTTCGGCCATGTTCATCATACCGGCTCATACCGTGTGAGTGGGGTGGGGGGGTACGTTATCAATTTGAACTTTAGTCCCATGTGACGAGAAGGGCAAAACTCGTCAAAAGTGTCTATATAATTAATAACTATTGCAATAATAAGGCGTCCAGTTACACAGTTTAGCTTAATGTGTGAAAAATGCAGCACTGAAGAAATTTTTCTCCGCAAGAGCTGGGTATTTGGGCTACATGTGCTTCGCATGTTGTCCTTGACTGCTCGAAACTTGCTCAAAAAGGCTGTTATGGCTGATACAAGCTTGCTACAAAAGGCACTTTTGCCTGGTCCCAGGACTGCTCCCAAACCCAAGTACCCATATTGCACACCTGTGTAAACAATTTTGGAGCATAATAACGTTATATATTTCAGCATTAAGGCTCACTGTTCACACACATTATTTCTGTGCTTGTGTCTCGGTTACCACTGACTCATAAATACTCATAAATGAATTTTGTTTGGTGCTGGAGCTCCATGCGCCTAATTGCCACAAAAGTGAAATAGTGCCTGATTTGCGATAAAAATTCCGAAAGTGAATATATTGGGTTTGGACTGTTCAGTGTGGTGCAATGTTCTAATAATTCTAGCTCCCACCCACTAACTCAAACTCCACCTAATTTGAACAATTTTATAGTCCCCTTCAAGTTCGAATTATTGAGTTTTAACTTTTATAATATTTAAGCATTTCAACATAGTAAAGGACTTATGCTCAACATAGCACTTGAGCTCAACATAGTTGGCTAACAACACGGTGCAAAGCGTGTTGAATATGTGCACATGTAATGTTAAAAGCAGAGTAAGCCTTGTAATTGCACAGCATTATTGAGAGCACCTGTTTCATAATATACTAGCATATTAAGCATGTTATAATGAAATGTCGCTGCTTGCAGTGACTCTTTTAAAATGATACATGCAGCTAGGGTGAGACTAGTACTAGATATTTCAAAGGTGCTTTGAAGATCATTTACTCGGCATATACAAAAAGTATGTACAACATACTGTGTTCAGAGTAGCGCAAAATACATGGAAAAAGTGTTTCCTTACATTGAAGATGCTTCCAAAATATGAGTAGTGTGAGGCAGTGCAGCCCTGTCTAGTTTGTGTACCACTTTCAGTGTAAACAGCATCGCAGCCTGTTTACGAGGAACAGAACTGTGCCTGTATTGGCCAAGAGGGTTGGTCTTATGTTGCCTTGCTAAGGGATCGTATTTTTTTTCCAAGTATTTGTATTACTATGTGCAAGGTATCCCGCGATGTATTTAAGTGTCAGGAAAAATACTGCCTTATTTGAGAAGTTTCTAGATACCAAAGTACTCTGGAAACAATTAAGGGGACCTTGAAACGGGTTTTGGCGATTTCGTACAAACACATTGGGTCGTTATATCAAGTCTTAAGGGTTATCTAAAGACTAATTTGAGCTCTCTGCGCAAACTGTGTAATTTATTACAATGCTTTAATTTAAAGCTGCCAATCGCTGCAGATCAGCACAGATCATTGCGACTCGGCCAAACGTGTTTTCAACCGTTCATTCACAGAGTGACTTGCTCTGGCAACTTCATGAGGCCAGAGCATGTCAGTAGCCACATCACTGTGGTTGCTGGCTGTAGAATGCGCGGAAGTAAGATCAGCTGGGAGGGTGGCGGCACTTGTCGGAGTAGATATGAACCACTCGGCAGTCTTCATCTCTGTTGCCAGACGGCATACGTGCTGCTGGGCACACTGTGTGATGACCTGCGAGACTTGTGCAACCTATCGCTGTGCCATCTCGAAGGTCTAGATTGGTAAAAGCTCAAATCGTCGAGCGTGCTCATGAGAGCTCTGCTGATCGCCAGCGTGTTTGTGAGTTGAGTAGGCCATGTTGAGGTGAGAAGGATGGTATCATTGTCCATAGCGGTCTTGGTGCACGGCATTTCACACTAAATTTGTGGTGTGAATAGTTTGATGATGCTCTAGCCTCAACGCTGACAAAACTTCAAAAAACCGTTTCAGGGTTCCTTCTAAGGTAGAGTAACGTGAGTGCAGTAGTCAAGATATGTACAGATACCCCAAAAGTAAAACAGAGTGCACAAGATGTGGCCAGCGTGGGGAAACTGCATGCCAGCGGGCTTTACCAGAAGATGCGCTGCAGGATACCGAAGAGTGCGTCAGCATATCTGGCTGAGCCGTCCTGATATTTGCCCGAATTCTTTTGAGGAAGTGAACGGTTTCAGAATGTTGCGACGCGAGCACTGGAGGAGAAGCACACAGGACAAATGCTTGTCCACCTCCAGTGCTCGCGGCGGGATGTGCTGGAAGCCTTGAACGTGTCATTCCATACAGACCTGCCCAAAAAACCACAGTGCCAATCTCAGTTCACTTTTTGTCGACAGGTGATATCAGAACTGGAACGAACGCTAGCCCTACTGGCATTTGAGGAACCGCAATCGAGCCCGTTCGGCGACCTACTCCACCCGTCACAGCGCCAGAAGGTGGCCAGCGAGGTGAATGCCGCCCTGCTGGAGGACCAGAGCACCACACGGCCGCAGCTGTCCGTGATGCTGCGCCTGCTGCTCTGGGCACAGGAGCAGCTGGAGCAGCTACCACCGGGGGCACCGCGATTGCGCTTCCCGAGAGTCACGCAACTGGCTGACCCGTTCCCCCAACAGTAGCAGTACCGACAAGGACACGTTGCTCGAAACTCACCGTTCCTTGCACCATTCGCCGCAACAAAGGAACACGCATGCGAGGACACGAAGCTGCCCTTGAATCGCCATTATTCTGAACCGGTGCTGAAGAAGCACGTTACCGCTGCCGCAAGACGACCGGCACGATTGCGTAACGCACTTCAGCTGCACAAAGTTCTGGCTACGCCTGAAGCAGTGGTCCTCGTTTGAGAGGCTTATCTGCTATTCCCGGTGGATCGGAGAATTTGGTAGGCTTCACTCTGTTTCTTTTGGACATAATAAATGATTCCACTCTGTTTCTTTTGGACATAATAAATGATTCCACTCTTGCTCTAGAAGCTTGCATCAATGTCGTGAAACATTGAATGTGTGTGCTACCAGAGTTGGTGGCTCGCAGATTGGCGTGCAAGTAGAATAACGGAGTCGTGAAACTTTACAATGCATTTCTGCATTCGTTGCATTGTTAAAGACTGGCCTTTGTGGTGAGCACTATGACTAATATAGCGAGCTTCAGTTGAAAGAAGTTCTGGAAGTCTGTAAATCTCTGATTAGAAAGAAACCTGAGCTTGATGCAGATAACAGTTTCCAAATTCGAATAAAAATGCAGAAAGGGAATTCTCTTTTTAGGCAAATGCATTACTGATATCAATTCCAGCAACTGTTGGAAGCAGGATTTCCAGTTGAAACCTCAAGCTTTTTTGTAAAATGTGCCAAAAATCAGTTCGGCAAAAGACCAGTCTAAAATTGCATTGCCTAGTATCGAAAAGTTGTTAACTCTGCAAAGGTAGATGATCAGCTAACTTGTCTGGTTGCTTAGTACTCAACACAGAGGTGAGAATTTTGCTGAAAGGTGCAAAGAATTGAACTTCTGAAAAATGCACCGAGACGGGACATCGCAAAACTTGGAAAGATGTTGCAATTACTTAGCTTCATTCTGTCAAAGCGAAATATACTCTCGCGAAACTCATAACTAAATAAGATGAAAACAGTGCTCTTAATGGCACGTACTCAAAGAATATTCAATAATCAAGACACTCATGCTCTTCAGGAGGTCTATTGAAGCAACATGACGACGGATGAGCCATAGCGTGTGTGAATCACGTGGGCCTCATAAATTTCTCTGGCATATTAGTTAGGTCAAAGTGCTGCGTGCAACCACACTTTGCACGGTGTAGAGCGAAACTACCGGTTGTTGTGTGATTCATGATGGACCTTACCTAGGCTCACCTAGGCCCTGTTGTCCAGTGTGTGACTTCCTGCAAGATAGTGGTATGTCATACACTACTCACGATTGGCATTCAACGAACCCTTGTGCGTGCTTTCTGGAGCGAGACTTTCCAGCAGCTTCTTCCACATTCACTTTGCCGCACAATCTGTTCGGTTTGTTGGGTGCACTGAAAATGACCGAGACTCCGACTCGAGCTGCATTTTTTTTGGTCTGTGGAATACACCATGAACATATGGGATCACTGCCAAATTATTTTGTTCAATAAAGTCACGTTTGTTCGTAGGTTTTCGCATAGAGATTTTTTTCATGCTAACTAAACAGCACAGGGTGCGGGAAATCCCACCTTGGTCAGTCCATCAACCTGGGAAGGAACCACATTTATATGAGGCTTGTGTGAATATTTAAATGAATATCGGAGTATTTGAATTCTCTTCGATTTGAACTTAAATAATTCAAAATTTCAAAGTATTCGAAATAGGTGTATATTAGCCTCCAGGTAACTCTCCTGTAAAGGTGGTTTCACAGCAACAAAGGGGTGCTGCACCGTGAGTGCACCTGCCCAAGGAAAAATCCGCACTGCCCCAAAGCCCCCATTCAAGGTTAAATGAACATGTTACCCTCTCATTGATTATGCCTTATTAGTTTAAAAGCTTGCAATACTGACATGCTCTAACTATAGTCAATTTCAATATGTAACATATTTTATAGAACATAATAGAATAGAATATTGTTTAGTTTTAACACAACTCAACATGTTGCATCTCAAGGGATGATATGGCTAAAGGCAGATTAACTGCCTGACAATGGCCCGATCACCCAAGCACTGTTCAACAGCATTTTGAACATATCAATATGTTATACAATGAAATGGAAAGTGGAAACACTAAGGGAGAAAAAAAAGAACATTTACTGTCAGCAACAGTTCATAACACAAACGAAATAATTTAAACAAAGGTACTTTTCTTTTTAATGTCGTACACCTTATAGTGCTCGAGGTCTTGCTCATACTGTGAAGGCACACAGGACAACAAATAAGTCTTAACGACATTTTAAAACAAACATGTTGACATAGCTTCGTTCACATTATTTAGAACTTGGAGATGTTGATTTTAAAAAGGTGTCAGGTATTTAGGTTGATTGCTTCCGTATGGAGTTCTACAAAGCGGAAGTTGGAAGTGGCTATATCTTAGGATATATTGCTTGCGTGTAGTTAGGTACATATGTGAAAAGGTTGATTTATTTTTTTGTATTTTTCTGTGTATATATGTAGCAAGTCCTGAAGTTATATAGCTGATCAACATTTTATATCTCATTTTTTAGAATAATGGTGTGGTCAAGCCATCCAACATTTTCTATGTGTCGAACAGCTTGCTTTTGACTGCCTACATATGTTTGTTTTGCTTGCAGTGTGCCAGATCACTAAACAGTAACGTAGTTGAGAATTGATAATCAAATAATACAGCCAACATTTCAGCTAAGTCGGAACCAGATGGTGGATTTTAGAAAACATTTGATTGCACCTAGAAATAACAGTATACGACTTGTTTACATGACGAGTCAATTTGAAATGCCGTTCAAATAGTACTCCCAGAAATATAAATAGTGACACCAGGTGAATAGAACAAGCTTCAAAAGAAAGAGAAATGCCAGTGTCATCTGGTTTGTTCCCTAGGTTTGAAAAAAGAAAGTGTATTAAAGACGATAGTCTTTCTTGGGGACCTTTGACGCAAAAACATTGGTCTGCCTGTCTGTATATTTGTCTGTTTCTCCACCGTTACCACGAACCGGGTACTTAAACAGCACCAGCCGATACCCCGAACGGCTGACCCCATCCGCAGCGCCCACCAATGTTGCTCAAGGATCAGCGTTCATACATGTGCGATTGTATGCAAAAGCAATTATTGCGCATATCTGAGGCACCATAACAATACGTATATATTCTACATGTTCGTCTTTTACTAGAAAAGGTATACATAATAATTTTAAGGACCGTAGCGCTTATCACGCTGCGCTGACTATGCAACGCTTGCACGAAGAAGCGAGTGTTTCCAACGCATTGCTAAGATGACACGGTGGTGGCACCTACCCGTCGCCTTGCGTTCTACACCTCATCACCTCACACGCTTTGTTTTGCAAATAGAACTGCCAGATGGCGCTGATGTCTCACGTGTGACGTGACTTGATGTGCTCGTTCGCCTCCGCTGCACGCTCGAGGCACTCTCACGAGCGCCTCCGGAATACCATTCGCCTATTTTCTTGCGCGGAACATCAAATAAATGTTTTGTTCACTCTCTCCACACGCAAGACTATCGTCTTTCGATGGCATTTGCAGATTACATGCAGATACAGGGCCAATTTTTTTAGCTTGAGACACATTTAGCTGAAATTGTTTGAGACACAACCATATCAGCAGTTCATGCAACCAATGGTCTGCCGGTAATTCCAAGTGAGCTAAGTTTTTACCGAAATAAAATAAACTAGCATCATAGGCACAGAGGACCATTTTGGGTCTAAACAGTATGTTAACTATGTCGTTAATATAAATGATAAAAAATACGGGACCCAGAATGGACCCCAGAGGTACGCCACATCTCCTAAAATGCTCACCATACTCTGTTAAGGCTTGCTATATATATATATATATATATATATATATATATATATATATATAAACCTCGTGCTTCGGTTTCTTGCTGTGCCGATATCTGGACGGTTCTTCACGCTGTCTCGTCGCTGTCCCTCACAATAAACCTCTTCACATTTGGTGGAGGGTGCTGTTTGTCCCCGTCGCTATACCCTGGAGCTGCGAAGCCGCACGCTACCGCCCGTCATGACTAACAACGCCTAGCCATCGGCGTCTTCGCCCCACTTCGTCAACTGCCCTGGCCGTCCTAGGCAACGGGACCCGAAGGTCTTCAGCGATACGGTTGGGACCAACGTTGAAGATTAGCTCGAGAACTACGAACTGGTGAGCGCCAATAATAAGTGGGATGAAGCCGACAAGCTGGGCCACATCATATTTTATCTCACTGGTGTCGCTGAATTGTGGTTTAACAACCACAAACACATCATCTCCACATGGAGCGTCTTCAAGACGTCGTGTGCTGAAGTGTTCGGTCGGACGGCTGTCCCCAAGCAGCGGGCAGAACAGCGCTTGCGCGACCGCTCTCAGCAGACTGGCGAAAGCTTTACCAGCTACATTGAAGACTTCTTCGATCTTTGTCGACGTGCGAATGACACCATGCCCGAATCTGACAAGGTGAAACACATCCTGAAGGGCATCGACGATGGCGCATTTCAAATGCTCTTGGCTAGGAATCCGAGCACAGTTTCCGAAGTCGTCAGCTTGTGTCAGAGCTACGACGAGTTGAAGAAGCAACGCACTCTGACTCAGCAGCCTCAGCGTACGTGGTGATGAGTCACTGTCCAGTTTCGTCACCATGCCTGATGTTACAAGCTGCCACTCTAGCGTCGCCAGCGCGAAGTCGGCGACGGGAATGACAGCAGGTTGGTTCGTTCCGTACGCAAGCAGAGACAGTGAAGAGATCAGAGATGTGAGAAAACAAAACAACTTTACTCTAGTGATATTGCAGCACACGGGATCTAATACAACACTTCAATACAACTAACAAAATACATCAACACTTGATACAACTAAAACATATATAAAACCAAAACAATAAACCAGTTTACGAGAGAGAACTATTACAAGCTACACAAACTATCAACAATAGAACTATGGAGTAGAAAGTTCGAAGATATAAACAGGTGAAGGCATATGTGTGATGACCGGCCGCGTTGCGTCCCCGACGATCGGATGCGAGAAGTCGAAGAGAGCTCTGGCACGACTGCGATGTCGGCAATGTTGCAACGCTGGTGGCTCCGGGAGTCTAGTGCTTGCAGGTGACTTCGAGCAGGTTGAGCTAACTCGAGGCGAAGTCCCGATGTCTACGTTGCAGACGTTAATATCGCGTCACAACTAGACCAACGGCTAAGTTTAGGTGGCCAGCCGATACAGAGCCACACTAAAAACTTCTAGAAGAGATGCTTGTTGATCTGTTTCTACAGCATGTTGGTCAGCGACTAGTCTGCCTAGCAGGGCAAAATCCT